GTCAACCCTCTAACTTCTCAACCTTTTTTTTTTTTTTTTTGGTGAAAATACACATAGCCAAAGATACACCATTTCAAAAATGTCTACATGCACAGTTCAGTGACATTGACTACGCTCTTCGAATTGTGCTGTTATTCTCACTTAAGATGAAGGCTTACAGAACAAAATAGTTTCTCATTTAACAGTTACTACAAATGTTGCCCTATGACAATGGTTAACAATCTCACAACACATCAACAATATCCTTACTCAACCTTGGGTTCCCTATCACCAGCTTCCTTGTCCCCTTCTGCCTTCTGGCCCTTGTCACTGGACTCCTGTACCTCGTTAGTCTCATTTGGTTTTACGGGGCTATCCACTCCCAGGCTGAATGGTGAACCTCGGCGATAACTTCACTACTGAGCTAAAAGGGTGTCTGGGGTGACTGGTACTTTTTAAGCCCTAGGAAAAGGACAGCGCCGTGCTAGGCCCCAAGGATACAACAGAAACTAAAGGCCAAGTCTACTCTGCCCTCACTGAACATGCAGTCTCCAAGACTGACCTTTGCCTGGCTGCTATTCCCTGAATCTGGAGGGCTTGACCTCTGGCCCTCAGTACAGGACCACAGTCCTGCCCTGCAGCAGCGGTCTGGCTGTAGCATCACCAGGCCAGGCTGTGAGGACTGAAGTCATACTTCAGGTAGTCTGAGGAGGGCTAATGAGAACCCTCCCTGGTTCCCCCAGGTTCTGGGGTGGGTGGCAGTAGGTATCAGTTGAGCAGCAACATCTGGGTTACCACTGCTATTTATGTATTAATAACCCCTCCAGCTGGTAGGCCTGGCATGGGCATCAGCTTTCTGGGAAGGCAGTCTTTCTGACAATGAGCTGACAGTGCAGACCAAGGAATTCCTAGCAAGGCTGGGCAAAGGACATCCTCCATCTGCCACTGAGAGAGCAGAAAGGCCACATGGTCATCTGAGCCTGCCCTCGCCCCCCGTCTTTGCTGATTCAGACCAAACCCATCCTCACTCCTAGTTCTGTTCCAGCAATCCTCTTGGGGCTCACAAAGTGAGTACTCCTTCTTCTGGCCCTGCCTGGCCCCAGGCCTCTCTGAGGAGGTCCGGGACTAAGTAGATATGCTGCCTGGGGTCCAGGACAGGGCTTGGAGGCACAGTGGTTGCTAGGTCAGAGCTATTGGGGTCATAGTTGATGCCTCCTCAGCCTCTAATCATTACACTGGATACAGGAAAGCAGAGCTGCTCTCCCTGGCCACACACACACCCCATGTACTCCTCAAATAAGCACAGGAGTATGTGTATCCCCTTCAGCATTCCCCAGGCCCAGCTCCTTGTCTAGCCCAACCAGGCACATTTTCCCTGAGGGTGAGTGCAGCCAGAACAAAGGCAGTCTCCTCCCCGAAGCACATCCACAGTTAAATTGCTGCCAATCCCCAGTAGAAGCCCCCCAACCTTTGGCTGTCATGGGTTAGAGCCAGTCCTTTTGTGCACCTCCCTCTCCCAACACCCTTTGCAATGAAGGTTCTGAGGGAAGTGGGGAGTGATCCTGGACTACTGGATTCTACTCCCTGGAGAGAGAGCTGGCCTGGCCTGAGTTCAGAGCTATTTTGGCACCAAACTTAGGCTTTGCCCTCTACAGCCTGAGACCGACACTATCAAGATAGAAGGCAACAGCATGCTCAGTCCTGGGAGCACCATCCAGCCAGCTGCCCACTGGACATTCCTCACTGTCCCAGTGCAATTCCAGGGCTGTGGAGACAGCTTTGGGAAAGGTGTTCTCTGGGGCTTCAGGTGTCCCCACTCCTTTTTGGTTCCTGCCCACATACATCTGAATTCGAGGTTTGCTGGTGGGCCTCAGGAGTAGAAACCATCCAGAAGCCTGGGCCCCAGATTCACCCCTCCTATTTCCTGTAGGGAAACCCTGGTGGTACAGTGTGGTTAAGAGCTACGGCTCTAACCAAAAAGTCGGCAGTTAGAATCCACCAGGCGCTCCTTGAAAACTCTATGGGGCAGTTCTACTCTGTCCTCTAGGGTCACTATGAGTGAGAATCGACTCGACGGCAACAGGTTTGGCTTTTTGGTTATTCTCTGTGGACTTTCCTTTCCGTGGGAGAAGGGCCCTGAAGAAAAACAGGCTCTGAGCTCCAACTATACTCGTCCTGATGCTCTCAGACTCTTTAGGGATTCTTCGAGGACTCCACCTTGTGTCGAGCAAGTGGAGACGGGCCCGGTTCTACCACCAGTCCGCGGCCGGGGTCTGCCTGCCCTACGGCCTTATCCCTGCCCACAGCCTCGCTCGTCACACCAGTCCCTTAGGCCTTTGTCGCGTGTCCGCCCCACTCAGCTCCACTTTTCTCCTAGGTCGGCCGTGTCCTCCCGCAAAGGCCTCAGTCCCACCGACAGCCGGCCTCTCCAAACTCAGTCTTTCTCCACGCCAGCGGCGTCACTTAACTCCTCCCACAGCCCAGGCCATCGCTGGCTGTCTTAACAAGGTCTCTGGTGCCACCTCCTGGGAACCCGCGGGTACTGTCCCCTATCCATCTACTCGGTCCAGAACTGCTGGCACTCTGGGCTCATCTAGGGGGCACGTAAAGCCACCAATAAAGTTGAGAGCCGCCCCCACCCCCCGCCCCGGAACCTACTCAGGAGCACCGTCCTGACCACACAGAGCTTTCCACAGAGAAACGGCCAGACCAACTTCGCTCCTCTCCACCCCCAGCTGAGACTCTATGGTCTCCTCCACCAAAGCTATGGGCAGTGGGACCAGTTTTTCTGCCTTCCTGCAGGAGCACCCCACTTCCAAGGATGGGCACCCCCACTGTGAATCTCTTGTCTTCCCTTCTGGGCCTCTAAGGTCCCTGTCAGGAAAATGGTACCCAGCATCCTCCAATGGGGGCTTCAAATAATTCTTTGATGCTCTACATTATGAACATGTTATAAAACCCCCTGAAGCATTTGGGTCACAGATTTGAACCTGCCTTGTGCTGGCTGAACAATCTGGGCCAATGCCCTACCCTCTCTGGATCTCAGTCACCTTGCCTCAAGATGGTGGTTGAGAAGGTAAGCTGAAACAAAGTAGGGAAAGAGTAAATCACCAGCCAATCTGGATTTTTGATAGAGTAATACAAAGAGCAGCAGAGCAGCAAAGCTCACCCTAGACAGACTGATGCTTGAGTGGGACCTTCCGTGCTTTGGAGGGGCCTCTGCCAGGAGCTTGTTCAGTTTGTTGGACCCAAGGGAAGGCAAGGCCGGGGGCTGCATGAGGCAGGTTGTGTGGTACCTCCAATCCCCAACAGCCTGGTGGTTTTCTAGAGAGCCAGGCCATCAGGAGCTCCTGGGCACCCCAAGATTCCCCAGCCAGCAGCCCTGCCTCAAGCCTGGGCCTAAGTATCTTGGCCCAAGGCAGCACCTTTTTTACCAGGAGAGAGTGCAGATCCCTCTAGATCTGCTCAGATTCTCTGCCCCTTTTGCAAGCAAGCAGACCTACTGAGAGAGATCCATTACCCTAACTTTATCCCCCAGTCCCCAGAGTGTCCCAGAATCCCTTGGAGGCCAGCACTGTCCCCATCTCACAGATGAGAAAGCCAGGGATCCTGGGAATTTGCTCTGGGTCAGAGGCAGGTAGGCAGACAGATTCCTGTGGGCCTAACCTAACAGTCCCCTACCCACCATTTCCTCCCTTCCTACTCTTTCCCTCCACCACCCTCTCCAGTTCAAAAGTAGTCCACACCCCCCAGTCTCCACCCTCCCACCAATAGGTCACAGGGATTTGGCAGGAGGGCTGGGGGGCAAGGGTTTGCCAGGCCAAACAACTCTCCTCAAAGGAAAGCAGGGCAGGGAAGAGGTCTGTGGCTTTTCTTCCTGCCCTGCTGACCATACTGTTGTCTGCAGAGACCAGAGATCCCCTCAATCTAGTTCAGGATAGTAGTTCACTCATGACCCAGTGGCTTCTCGTTAGAAGTTAAACACAACTTCCTGAGGCCAGGAGAACAAAGGGTGGCTGAAAGATAAGTCCTTTCCTGGGCCCCTGCCACTAGGCCTAGAGGGACAGCCTTTCCTGGCACTAACAACATGGTGTGCACTCAAGTCCTAGCTTCACAAATAGTTGACTTTCAACCACTCCACACGCTTGGACGAGGCTCTATCTGCAATATGGGACCAGCCTCTGCTCAAGGTCTTGCAGATTGAGCAGAAGGCACAGCCTGAGGGTTGCAGGGGGAGATGGCGAGGACCCAGTGGGGGCAGGGGTGAGCCCAGTAGAGGCACTAGTTGTTCTGTGACCATCCTGCCTCTGAAGGCACAGCTGCTGCTTCCCTTGCCTCCCACTCCAGGGCAGTGTCCCAGGATAACCCACCAGCCCCTTCCTGGGCAGAATCATGCTCAGCCTACCCAGCTGGCCTGTCCATCCCAGGCAAGGCACTTGGGGGCAGCCTCCCGGGATCTACAGGCCCACCCAGGGCAGCACAAGCAGCCATTCTCCCCTTCTCCTGGCCTCAAGACCAAACCTGCCTTTAGATTGCTTGGGAGACTGGCCAGCCTCAAGCCCACAGGCAGTGGAGCACCACCCACAGACACATCCCCAGGTCTCCATCTTCACAGATGCCCAGACTAAGGGACCCTGCCCAGGAGCTGAAGGGGTTTACCCACTCTGTGGGAGCTTTTGATAGGACCTTTCCCATCATCCTTCCTGCCCAGGACAGGCAGGTTTCTCTGCCATCTCGCCTCACAGATGAGGAAACTGAGGCTCAAGGAGACATGTTTCATAGGCAGAAGTGGCAACATGGGGGGCTTGCGTTTCGGCAGAGCTTCTGGGCACACCCCCAACCCTCCCAGGGGCACAGAAATGGTAAAGTTGTGTGGAGGCCATCAGGCCAGCTACTCAAAAGCCACCTCAAAGTGGGCTTGGCCAGAACCCTTCATTCTTCTGTCACAGGGACTCCAGCCCTCACAAGTGATGTCCCAAAACTCATGCAGGGGGCAAGGAAACACACACTCAGAGGCAGCAGCATTGTAATAAAGAAACTGCTTTTATTTAGTTTGATATGTTTCTATACAGAATGCAGAAAACACCTTAAAATCATACAGAAGGAAATAAAAACACGTCAGTAATTGGTGAACACTTTAAAGTGAGATTGGCTCTGTCTCACAGAGTCCAGCGGCCATCGCCAGCCTGGCTCTCAGGGGAGGAGGCTGCCTGCAAGGGCATTGTTGCTGTTGTTATTCTGTTCACTGCCCCTTTGCCTCCAGTTGCTATGGCAACAGACCATTCTAGGCCAGCCATGTCTCTGCGTGGCAGTGCCCGTTGGTGGGGTTGCTAGGGGCAACGGAGCTGTTTGGAAGGCCTTTCAAAGGCCCTCACCTGGAACACTGGGAATTATTTTTTGATGAGGTCATCAGAAATAATCTCACCAGGTCAGATCCCACTTGTGCTCCTGACTCTGGGGCATCAGAGAAACCCTGGCTTGGACCAAGGCCTGGAGGCACAGGCCCAGTCACAGTGGTCCACTGAGCCCTCACCTACAGGCTCCCCTGAAAAGGGTAGTGCTCACTCTAGAGTACCCTCCTGCACCAGGGCAGGGGAGTGGGGCCGGGCTTGTGGGAGAAGCTGTAACGGGAAACGCCCTTCAGTGAGCGGTGGGTGCAGGCCCCCAGACCCTACTGCCGGCCCTCCCCTCCTGAAGCAGCACACACAAACCCTCTGCAAAACTGTCAATATGGCTTAGAAGTGGCTGCCTGGTGTGCAAAGGGAGCCTGGGTCCACCCACCCGCCCCGGATCAGGGATGGGAAACATTATTGCAAAAGGCATTCCTCCCTAAAAGGTACCCAAAATGACTCTCAGATGGTCAAGAAAAATCAGGTTCAAAATAGTTTCTTCCAAAGGAGGAGAATCGAAGCAGAGTGGGTGCCCCTGAGTCATGGGACAGAGATGCAGATGGATGGACGGACGTTCTGCTAAAAAAGGCAAAAGAAGTCCCAGTGTAATCACAGAATTTAAACTGTTATGAAAAGGGGGGGGGGGGATCAAAATGAGCAAAGCCGTCAGTTCCACGGAATCAACACTAAGAGCTTGTACAAACTGCTGTAAGCATCACCATTTTTAATCTTTTTTTTAATAAACAATTTGAGACTGTATAAAAACTTTAGTAAAAAATTAGCTTTGAGAGCCCACAGATTTTTACTATGAACTATTGCTGGCACTCCTCCCCAACCACCAGACCTTTTCCAGCCATTCAGGCCCAAGAGGCCTGGGACTGGAGCGCCAGAGAAAAGGGGTGGGGTGGGGCTGTGGACTGTTGGGACAAAGCGGCCAAGGTCAAGTGAGGAAGGAGCATCACATGACATAAAAATATTGCATCTTCACCAAAATGTCCCCCACTGAGTGTTTCAAAAACCATGATTACCTTTTAGGAGGGGGGAAAAAAAACACAAAAGAAGGAAAAAAAGAAAACAGGTTGATGTGGTCGAGTCCCTCGACCTCCCCAGGAACCTCCACAAGCAGCTGGCCCACCCTGGAGCACCTAGGTTTGGGGCCATGGCCACCGCTGCCTCTTGGAGTTCTTTTTCCCTGGAAATGAAGACCCCTTGGTGGTGGGCCGACAGCGTGCATGGGGTGGGGGTGTCCTTGGCCCAAGAGGCCCCCCCAGCTTCTGGCCCCTGGCAACAGCAGGAGAGCAAGCACAGCACCAGGGCCCTGGCCCCTTAGGCAGGGCCAGGAGGCCCCCAATCAGGCTCTGGGGTATCAGAGCAACCAAGTTTACGTAGTGTGAAAAAATAGGATTCCTTTGATAAAAAATACTGTCCCTTGGTCTTCTCTAAGTTTGAAACACCCTGGGAGCTTATTTTTAGCAAAGCAACTCCCCATACCCTCCCAAAAATTATACATACAAGTTTAGGTAAACAGCAGATTAAATGTAAAAACTTAACCTTAACTTCTGAAAGTCCTTTGAATTTAATCTTTAGCTACTGTTTTCCATGTTACATCCTGCAGCTAGACACACGTGAATAGAAAAAACAGTACAGTTAGTGTTAAAGGCAAAACGCAGAGAGCCGGGAGGCCACCCAGCACTGCCTGCGAGTTCATTCACGGTTCCTCGCTCCCTCCATCTACCTCTACTCCAAACAGTGCTTTCAGAGCCAGCCATCAAAAACGCAGCGAAGAATTTTCTATGAACAAACAAAAAGCTGTTAGGCAAAAAATAAAAATAAAAAAGTCCCCAAAGTCTCTCCAGCTGCTTTGGGGTTTAGGAGGACCAGAGAGGGCGGGCTTGTCCAGGCCCCACGTGTGTCTGTGTGTGCTAGGTCGGGTGTTGGCTTCCGGTGGGCGATGGTCTGCAGGCCACCGGTTTCCACAGACAACAGCATGTTGTCTCCAGGCCCTTGCCCTACCCCTGCCTCCACCCAGGCGCTTGTGGGTTAAGGGGGGACATAGGGAGGGGGTGACCGGTATGGGGTCATGTTCTTGGGACGGGAGCCCTTGCCCTCCATGGGGGCTGTGAAGGGCGGAGGGGGCTGGTAGGGAGGCGCGTTGGGATCCTCATCTCGCAGGGGTGTGTACTCTCCCACAGTGTCCTGATTCAGAGGAGTGGTCTCGGGCACGCTCTGGTTGGGGTACTCGGGAGGGGGCAGGGGGGCTTTCTCCTCCTGCAGGATGAGTGGCATGCTGGAGGAGGGTGGGGGCTTGGAGTCATCCAGCTCATCCGCAAAGATGATGGGCACGCCCTTCTTGATGAAGGTGGCCTGGTCCTCCAGTGTGAGCTTGCCCTTCCGCTTCTTGCGGTAGCAGATCATTGCAATGATGCCGGCGATGAGCAGGATGGCTGCAACCACCACAGCTGGAATGACCGTGTGCAGGTAGACGTCATCCTCACTGCTCTTCTCAGGGTCCCTGTCCGGCACCTCTGTGGGCGGTGCCTCTGAAGGCACCTTCCTGGGTGATGCCACAGGGATAAACTGCAGATGCCGGCAGCTGCCTGAGCCCATCACAGCAACACTCAAGGCCTTGTAGTCGGGTTCCAGGGCATTGGAGAAAGCTAGCCGCGGCTTCCCGTCATCCTCGGCGATCCTGCGGCTCAGCCCTGTGATCTGCTCCTTGGGGCAGGGCTCCAGGGGCAGTGTGTTGTTGGTCCATTCCACCACAATGGAGCCCCGGGTGATATTCTGCAGGGTGATGGTGCTGCAGTTGCGGTCCCCAAAAGCAAAAGCCAGCTTCTTCACCAGGGCAATCCTCTTGTGGATGTCATTCACCACTGGTGCTGGGTCGCCCACAAATTTGGCACTGAACCGCGCAGGAGCCCTGTCCCCTTGAGGGCGTTTGTGGACATGGATCTCGAAGGCATCCACAGCCGAGAGGCCCCCTTTGTCTGTGGCGTGCATGAAATACTCATGCTTGCCCACGTGGCTGCTGTCAGGCAGGCCGTACATGAGCTGGCTGTTGCTGTTGAACTGTACCCAGGACCTCTCACCCACCAGCTGCTGCTCCCGCAGCTTCAGGGTCAGCTTCAGCTTGTCAGTGGTGGTGTCCTCCTTGTCGTAGAATGTGTCTGGCGGGATTTTCACCTCAAAGTAGGTACCAACCCAGGCATCTACCCTGTCAATATGGTTCTTGAGCTCTGGCGCCTGGTTGGGCTCTCCTCCCCGGGGCACCCCACTGGTAGTGGTACGGATGCGAGTGGGTGGGGAGGCTGTTTCCAATCTGGTGATGGAAGTTTTGGTGGTGACCCGGGACACTGGTCGGGATGTCCGTGGCTTCTTGGTCGGCCTGCGAGTTGTGGTGGTTGAGGAGTCAGTTGAAGGCATGGCTGGTTTTGGGGTGGATACTCGTGGCTTTTTAGTGGTGGTTGTGGGCGGGGTAGCAACTGCTGTGGGCTCCACATAGCCAGGAATGGTCATTGTTGGGCGGATCTGGCCAGAAACCGTGATGCTGGCTTCTGACACTCGAGTGGGCTGGATAGGGCCTAGGGTTGGGGTCTGAACGATGGCACCTCGAGTCCTAATGGTGACTGTGGGCTTCCCAGGAACAGGATCCCTGACTGGAGGAGCCATGGTGTCTGTTGGTGGAGCTATAGCTGGAGATGTGGGTGTAGGCACGATCCTGGAAGGTGGCTCCTGGATGGCTGTGGTTGGGGGACCAATGGCAGTCACAGGGGTGGGTGTGGCATGTATCTGCCTCCTGAGGCGTTTGGGGAGAGGGGGCTTCTTGTTGGCAATGTGCCAACCCACCACAGGATAGCCAAGCTGGGCAGACATGGTGCCCTCCCTGGCAGGGGCCTCTACCCCACGGATGTCAGGCACACTGTTCTGGTTCAGGGAACAGCCCAGCCTCCAGGAGAGCAGGGCCCCATTCTCCACCACCTTTTTTGCATTTCCTGGGCCAGCCATGAAGGCTGACATGTCAAACAGTCTGTTATTCACCACTGGCACCAACTTCATGTTGTGAAGCTCCACTCCTGAGAAGCTCTGCATGCTGTGCAGGAGGTCAATCCTTTGCTTTGGGGTCATCTTGGTGAGGTCGGCATCCAGAATCACTGTCAGGACAGTCAGAGGCTCATCGGCAGCACAGGTAGATGACACCACCTCGCCAGGTTCTGGTGATGCCGCCCGCACAGACTGTGGCTCGCTGTGGTCTTCAGGGTAGACCTCAATGGAGAACACGCTGGAGCTCTGGGGGATGTGGCTCCCGTTGGCCCCTAGCCGTGCAGCACTCACCGAGATGTAGTGCACACCCTTGTCAGTGTCCAGGGGAAGGCCCTCCAGGGCGTGGCTCTTTGGGTCCCAGTGCAGCCAGGATGGCAAGGTCTCCTTCCCTGCCGCCGATACCTAGAAGAGACACAGACGTAAGTTACAAGTGCTACTGTCTGCACAACCTGAAAATGATCACTATAGCTCATCAGTGGCCTAGCCTGAAGTGTGTGATAGGCCTAAGGCATAACTCAGAACTCCTACCGGGAGAACTAACTCCCCATCCCCAGAGAGGCATAACCAATCCTTTTACTTGTCATGAAAGACTGGGGCTGCCAGGTAGGCTAGCTTGGAAGGCAAACGATTCACCCAAGGCCACATGGCAGGGGGACAGCTGCACTGGCACTCAAACATACATCTCAGCCCAAAGGAATGATGACACAGAGCTCACTGGATGCTGAAGATTTTTATTCCAGTGACACACCCTGCTACTTACTCACCCACTCTGCCGGCAGAATCAAATCTGAGTGTCTCATCCCAGCCCTCGGCACTCCTTTCCAGCCTCATCAGAAGTGAACGCCAGGGCTGGGCACACAGACCTGGGTACACGGGAAGGCCCAAAGCCCCCACTGACTCATTTTATGACCATCACGTTACATTCAAGTGTAGTGGGGCACATTTGTGTAGCAAAGCAAAGTTAGTTGTGAATGCTAATTAACCCTGCTTCTCAAGCCTCAACAAAAACTGTAGTGCTCAGGGTGAGGGGACTGGAAATGATGATTCTAGAACAGTGTTTATCAGATGCATCCCGAGGAGCTCTGGTCCCTGTAAAAGACAGGTTCTGTAGTCAGCCAAGCTGGGAAATGGACAGGGTCCACCACTGCCCTTGGAGAGCCCAGGCACAGAAGCAGGCCACAGGCTCTAAAGAGCCTATCCCCTTGTTCCACCCAACAGCACCTCCCAGACTTATTTCAGTGTAGAAGTCTTTTTCCATGGGAACGTAACTGGTAATACTGAAGGCACCAAAAGGAATGTCACCACAGAAACTTCCACCATCAGCTGAGAAGAGGGAAACAAGACTTGCCTTTTGCTCAGGCCCCGTCTTCGGCTCCTCTTATCTTTGGTGTATACCTACTCCTGCCCCCAGTGCAAAAAAGGTGGTGCCTGTTCTCTGGTCTGCCCAAAGATACTCTCAGCTCCTTTGCCTTAACCCACCAAGTCCAGAGACAAGTTGGCCAACGGACAGCACATCTCACTGCCAGCTGCAGCCCAGGAATCACCCCCTTCATGGCCAGTGCTTGCCATTACAGGGACAATGACATACTTTCTTCCTTGTGGCAACAAGGCCAGAGCTATGCCTGCTGAGCTCCCCAGCAACTCCAGCTCCCCAGGCTTCTTCCTTCTAAGAGCCAGCGGTCTGGGTGACTGAGAAGACCCAGGGTCACACCTACTCTTTCCAGCCAGGACCCAGACGTCCAAGGAACATGCAATCCCACAAACCTTATCATAGACCAGAGACCTTCCGCATTTTAACAGGTTTCCTACCTCCAGAAAAAACCCAAGTGAAGATGACTGATATTATTAGGACTTACTATTAATGAGATTGTCCTTTCCTGATTGTTTTCTGAGCCACTCACTGAGTGAGTGATGAACATTCTTTACGACGTCACATTCTATCATCTAAGGTGCACCATCATCAATGTACCACTAAGAATCACTCCTACCCTGTCACTCACCATCCACTGCAAACACAGTTAACGTCAGAAATGTTAAACATACGTAAAAATGGATGTCTTCAAATCCATGAAAAACAGTAAATACATTTCTCTTTTAAGACATCTTTAACTATAAAAGTAACACTAATTTCAACTGTTGGGCTGAAAGACTTCTGCTTTCAATTTGTTTCAGTTAATTTATGTTAAATATGAAAACTGTCACAACTGCATGTGAATACATAAAGCAAATGCTGAATGGTCACAACTGCATGTGAATACATAAAGCAAACGCTGAATGCTCTTGTTTTGCAAAAACAGGAAGCAAAGGTGTAAGGCCCAAATGGAGTGTTCTGGGAACCATGAGATGTTTTACACGGATGGCATAGGAGTGGAGGTCCTGAGAGGTGAGGAGGTGGTGAGCCAGGGCATAGACACTCAAGAGTTTCCTAACCACATGGAAGGAGAGCTCACCTGGCAGAGGGAGGGCCTGGAATGGAGCTTTGGGTGAAGCCAGCCAAGGAGAAGCCACCTGCAGAGGAGACTGGACAGGCCGTGAGAGGATCAAGAGAGAGGAGAGGCTCCAGAAGTGGGTGCTGACTGGCTAGCTAGGCCCATGGGACATTCCTGAGTGGTTAACCAGCCCTGTGTCCATCAGCATAGATGAGAGGGCAGCTCTGCTGCTCCTGCATATCTATCTCCAGCTACATGTGGGCTCCTTATAACGCAGCAAACAGAGAAGGACTCCACCTCCTGGAAGCTTCCCAGCCCGGCTCACTTCCTATTCTGCTGACCTCAACAGCCAAAGTTCTGTTGTCAGACATCTCCTATGGAACAAACACAGGCCACTCTTTGGCCAAGTCTCCCACACAGCCACACTTGGAAGACACACTTATTTAAAGCTATGCCAAGTAACAAACATTAAAGAAAATCCCAGATTTCACCAAAGCAGTTATAATGCTCAATTTCAAACTGGGAGACAGGAGAAAAGAATTAGTAGCTTTATTTTGATTACTGAAAATAAATTCTTCAACTATCATCTACCCACAGCTTTATAGACTTCTGCGGCAGGCCACGCCAGAAAAACAGAACCAAGCTTCCCCAACCTGCACATCTCCTTCTCCTCTGCAGATTCTTGCTCCTCAGGGGCTCCGAGCCCCAGTCATACTCTGGCCACAGGGAAGGTGTCCAGCTTGGATCTACAGCCCAGAAACAGGTAGCCCCTAGGGTCCTGGGTACTCCTCAGATCCTCAGACAGGAAAGACAGGTACTAATCAGAAAGTTCTAAAATCCCAGCACCTCTGGGCATCCTGGTACTGGGAACGTCAGGCCCAGAAAGCACGCTGAGGGCCAATGATTCATTTTAATAGAAAGGCCACAGGAAGCAAAACAAACCCGATTTCCACAAGGAACTTGGCAAGTCACAGGCAAGCTGGCACTTCTGCATTTTCAAGGCTACTTGGGGAAAGCCCCTGACCTAGAAGTATGAACATGCCTGAAGGGCTGGCAGTGTCTATATTCCCCCCCCAGATTCCACTAGATGCCAAGTGGCCCCTCCCTCCCAGGGGCACCCAGCTCAGGGCCCAGCTCACCATGGAGGTGCTGGGGTGGGGGGGCAACACCTGCTCCACCCTAACAAAGTATGTAGTCCCCTCAGCCATGAGGACCCCGGACACCCTCCCCAGCTTCCAAAACTTACAGGTTCTGGACCACTTCTCTTCCGTTCGGGCCTAAGGGTGAAGTGGGATATGAAAGCTTCTGGGAGGCATGCCCCCAGGATGAGTCAGGACTCAACCTTCTAACGACAGCCCACCTGATGGGAAGCCATCTCCAGGTGCGCTTGGCTGAAATCCCAGCTCTACACAGGCTGAGGTTTGACCCAACCTCTGCCCCAGTGTTCTCATCTGTAACACCGGCGGGGGGAAATCCCATCCTTGTGATTCTCGCGTCAGGCACACAGTAGACTCTCCATCAGTGCTGGTTCCCGCCTGCTCCCCGTGGGCTGTGAGAGGACCCAGTGCACAACGTGAGGCTGTAGCACAAACAGGCCCAGGGGATGTCCAGCCTCCACTCCCTGTCCTCCTTCCCAACTGGCTCTGGACCCAGCACACAGCGAGCACTTGTCTCCCTGTTCATACCCCAAAGCAGAAGCTCAAACCATCAAAGGGAAGTGGGGAGGCCAAAGCAAGGGAGGCCAGGATCCTAACAAGATCGATGCCACTGAGGCTAGGCCCAGGCCAAGGCTGGGGACCCTTCAGGAACTTGCTTGACTGTCAAAACCTATCTGCCAGGAGTGGATGAAAATCTGGGGAGCACTGGGGAGGGGAAGACTTATTGCAAGCGATAGCCCAAAGACCAGCATCCACCTCTTTGGTCTAAGACAGGTGTCCTCAATCCTGGCATATTTGCACATGGGATTTTGACTACCCTTAGAGTCTCAATATACTCAATATAAAAATTTCTGCCCTAGGTTTACCATAATCACCCACAATTAACTCCCTAAGGGCCACCAGACCAGAAAAGGTAGGCAAGAGGCAGGAATCGGGGCTCTGTGTGAGGTTCTCATCATCATCAGCATGTGCATTTGGAGTGACAGGCTGGTCCCACCCACAGAACTCCTGCAGGGTTTCAGGTCACTTGACCATCCATTACCAAACACCAACATGCCTTGGAGCTGTGGAAGTCAAGGCCTACTGACCTTATAAAGCTGCCATCTTGGAGAGGAGCCTTCAGCCACTTAGTGGGTACATCTGCAGGATGCAGACACTGCAGGATGAAGTCTGGTTTAACAGGATCACAAAGTCCAGCTCAGAGGCCATCCAGAAAGGTCCAGAAACCTTTCCAGTTTTAGTAACCCTCAGAGAGGACATGCTTCTGAGATGGAAGACGAGCCCAGTGCTGAGGAAAACAAGATCTCACATAGCAGCACACCTAGCTTTAGAAATCCTGACCCCTGAAGTGTACCCCAAAACATTAAGAATCAAAAACACAAAACCTGGGTAGTCCCATAAGTAATTCTAAAGATCAGTGATGCCCACAAGGAATTACCATGACCAACGGCCACGGGACGGCCAAATCTGAAGATTCTGGTCACTCCTCAGTCTGTGCTAGCAGATGCCTAGTAACTGACCCCCCCCCCGCTTCAGCTGGGGGACACTCCCTCCAGCTGCTCTGCTGGTGTCCTTTCCCACACAGTAGACCATCAAACACTTGGTTGGATAGATACAGCACCTATAGGCACTAAACGCCATGAAACACAAGCAAAGTCTCTAACCCCAAACCAGTACCATTCCACACCTGGAGACAGCAAATGAGCAGAGAAGCTTCCATTACTTAGTCCTTCATCAAAAAGCAGGTTTCCACCCACTGTCTGAGCCAGTCAGTCAGACTCGGCTGAAAGATAAAACTGAAGAATTGGACTCTCAC